AGACCAAGGCTACCCCGATGTGACTTTCAGCTCTTGGAATGGCGGCAAAGCTACTGTCGACGTCACAGGAGACCATGCGACTGTCGCCCGCACCGTTGCCCGTGATTCAATTATCCTATTGAAGAATGAGGAACATGTTTTGCCTCTCCGGACACCCGGAAGCCTGGCAATCATTGGGCAGGATGCTATCGTCGACCCCAATGGTCCCAATGCATGCGCAGATCGCGGCTGCAACAACGGCACGCTAGCTATGGGATGGGGAAGCGGGACATCGGAGTTCCCTGTAAGCAGGCTAATTCCAAGAGATCAATGGCAAACCCGATGAACTGACAATCCCCGCTCTAGTACCTCGTTGGTCCTCTTGATGCAATCCAAGTCCAGGCCAAAAAGGATGGTACGAAAATTATCGAGAGTACGACCGACAGCACTACAGCTGCTGCTTCTGCTGCCGCAGCGGCAGAGACTGCCGTGGTATTCATTAATGCGGACGGTGGCGAAGGGTCAGTCAGACTTGCATCACCATACCTATAATGTATTTGCAAGCACTAACACCCATCCCAGTTATATTACAGTGGAGGGCAACGTTGGCGACAGAAACAATCTCGATCCCTGGCACAACGGAAACGAGCTCGTCAAGTCTGTCGCGGGAGTGAACAAAAATGTCGTCGTGGTCGTGCACAGCGTGGGGCCGGTTATCCTGGAGACCATTCTAGCGCAGCCCTCAGTGAAGGCAATTGTGTGGGCCGGGCTACCAGGGCAGGAAAGCGGAAACGCTCTGGTTGATGTGCTGTATGGCAGCACCTCTCCAAGCGGCAAGCTGCCCTACACGATTGCCAAGCAGTTTTCAGACTACGGGGCTGGCTGGAACAGTGCGCTAGACGACAATTTCGTCGAAGACCTGTTCGTTGATTACCGCCACTTTGACAAGAACGGTATCGCCCCGCGCTACGAGTTTGGTTATGGCTTGTCGTACACGACCTTCAACTACGTTGGACTTGTCGTAAGCATTTCTGCCACGGCTGGAGCATCAAATGGACGCATTGTCCCCGGCGGGGCGGAAGATCTTTTCGAGTCGGTCGGAACTATCTCAGTCACTGTCCAGAACACTGGCGACGTAGCTGGTGCTGAGGTTGCTCAGCTCTATCTTGCTCTTCCGGAGTCCGCCCCAAGCACTCCACCCAAGCAGCTCCGAGGGTTCCAGAAGTTGAATCTCCAACCGGGAGAGTCGGGGACGTCTACATTTGAGCTCACTCGGCGTGACTTGAGCTACTGGGATGTGCAGATGCAGAAGTGGATTTTGCCTAGTGGTACCTTTACTGTCTATGTTGGAGCTTCTAGTCGGGATATTCGTGAGGACGGACAATTTACTGTCGCTCAGTAGTATATCCTTACCCTTTGACGTGTACATATCTCCTGTTGGAGGCCACTGGACCCAAGATGAAATTTTGGATCTCAGAATGTGGAATGTAAACTCTCTTGGTTGAGATTCATGTGTCTTCATTCGTAAGACACAGTGCTGTCGGGCTGTTGTCGCACTGCCACTCGAGACAGGGGTCCGGAAGACAACAAAGAACATAAAGAATGAGCTTTGTAACTGCCATTTCTTTCATTGCGGATGACCATAGTATTGATTGTCTTGTTCAATATATGATAGCCAACATGCATAAATAACCTCTTGCCAGTCCTTCTCGAAGTAGCGAACTATCCTCAATTCGACTTCTACTTACCCCTAGACCCATCTTTAAACATACATTGAATCCATTAATCTCCGAGACCAATGGCTTGGTGGGACAGCTCTTCACCCTACTGGGTCCACAATCTCGTGCCAATCTTCGCACAAGAGACCAATGGATTCCGAGCAGAACTCGTATGCCAGATTGACTTTCTAGTTAATTATCCAGGCCACCAAAATATAGTGAGCCAAAGACTTACTACGACTGCTCGATCGATGCGCAAGATGAAAATGCTAGCGTCAGATATCTCGGTATATTTCCCGAATCATCCATTGATCACTGGCAGACGCCCTGGTTACTTCCAGACTACTTTCCCTCGTGTCTGCGATTTTATTGAAAAGAGTTTGATTGACCTAAGTAGGACTCTAATGAATGACCCGCGTAGTGAGGCGTCTGTTGCTTGGCAGCTGCAGGATATGTTGGATAGTCTGTAGGTTTGGATATTGGGTAGGTCAGTTTCATAGGATTTGGAAATTGTGTCTATAATGGAATTGGGGTTTATTTACTGTGAGTAAAAAGAAAATAGAACCCTCTATACTTCAATGCACCTGGGTCTACTTCAATTCAACGTTTTACTAGTCATCTTCCGGCTTGATTTGTTATTTCTAGACGAGACCCACGGCGTGCTTCAACAATTTGGTTTGGCTTTTTCGGGATTCGCTCTCAATCACCTTTCAAGCTTGGAATGAGAGGTTGTAACCATGTGCAAGGAGGCTGGGATCCAGCCCAATACAAATATGCGACCTCAAAAAGCCTCCAGTTAATTCGGATTTCGGATTTGACTGGGTGGTTTTCTTTTAAAAATTAGATTAAACCCTTTTTATTATACCGTTATACGGTGGTTTCGAATTTAATATCAGCCCAGCCGGTATTTGGGACGATGTGTCCAATATTAAAATTGACATGCCTCGCATCGAAAGAGGAATGCTATTAATGGGATTATTCATAACAATACAATCCTTCGCATTGAATGACCAAGACCTCTCTCGGTGTGAGTCCAAGTCAACCTAGAATAATCTCACGCTACCGCGAAACAATTAGCATGCATCTTCAATCTGCACAGTGGAGCTTTTTGCTTGCAATTATATTGGCATGCTTGTTTGCTTTGGTCGAGTCTAAGGATTCCTCGGAGCATGAAAATCCAACCTTCACATTTGACGAGCTCTGGAACCTCGAGAAGAGCTTTTGGGATTCGTTTCTCTACCCTGCAAACCTTGAACAAACCCAAGGCAATGAATCGACTATTTTTGCATCAGATGTCAATATATCCCAGTATTTATGGTGTCTAGTTTCAAAGGTTTGACACAATACAGGTCCAAGGCCGTGTCGACATCACCCGCACCTTCGACGGCGACGAGCTAAACCGCGAATATATCTTCGGCCTATTCTCCGATCCAGATCATGTCAGTGTGGTCGGTATCCCCATCGCATATAACATTACTCAGTTTACCGCCAATGACAACATCGCATCCGCTACAACCGTTGTCACCTTCAACGCAACCACTTTTGGCATCCTAATCCCAGTGACAATCGACACATGGATCGAGTTCAACACCGACGGCAAGATTGCACAGTACGATGCCACGTTCCGCTGGTTCGAGTATCTACTGGATTTCCTGGTCGATGGAGTCGCAACAAAAATAAACGCGACTGAGCCCGACCAAGCCGTCGCTTATGTTGCTGATTTGCTTGCCACGACCATCTGTGATACACACGAAAAGCATTGCACGGGTTCGAACCAGCAATATACAGACACCCCAACTTGCTATGACTTTTTGACTAAGACTGTGCGATTTGGAAAGGCTTACGAGCTTGGTCGTAACACGTTGCTGTGTCGCGAGGTTCATGAGCATATGGTGCAGTACCGGCCCGACGTGCATTGTTCGCATATCGGTCCTGAGGGTGGTGGATACTGCGTTGATGACATGAATTACACGCAAACAGTGTTACAGAGGTACTTTAATGACTCTTGGATTGCGTTTGGATATGGCACGGATCAGAATATTTGGCTCGCCAACTGAAGGGGCATCACTTGGGATAAGGAACTGATCTTCAGCCCACATTTTTATGCATTTGTTGGTGTTGAAAGCATACTGGCCCATCTCCACAGACTTTGTGTGAATTAGAATTAGCTCTTTTGTTCTGCCGGTAATGCAGGTCAAAGTAATATCAGAAAGTCTTCTCCACAGACTTTGTCCGGTGAATTATCTCCAACGAACCCCGACAAACAGCCCTATTGCCCTTCAGTGGTCTGCACTAAGTCATGTTCTTCTGTCACATGGGAATTGAACCCAGAGTTTCCGGAAACATGTATAAAGGTCCATGGGAAATACCATATGTCATTAGAATCCTGCACCGACCAAATGTGGTCTCAAGATCACCTAGAGTGTGACGACGGCGAAGTTGAGCGATACAAGTTTTGCCACAGATCATAGGCAGGACTCACGGAAATCATATATTGGCATGCTGTTATCTATACATGTTGCGTGCTATGTCACATCCGACACCAGATGATTGGCGCTTGTATACCCCCTTGATTACAATCACCAAGCCTCCTAGTTCATCCTTAGTCTAGCGTGGCACTGCGCGGAGTTGTACCGAGTAAGGGGCTGTTTAGTGATCTTCAGTTCGGAGCTTTATGGGTGATATCATAGGACATACTTTGGCACAAGTCTCCGACGTCTACATCTTCATTTGGCGATGATCATACTGTACATTCCAATCCCTTTTCACTTCCGTCCCTAGCCGTTATTTATGCTACAATCCTCCGTCGCAGGCCGGGAGAGCTCTCTATTCCCCACGCAAAGCACGTCAGTTTCGACCTTTTAAAAACGTTGTTTTCTTTGCTCCTTCTACACAGGGGCTCAATATCATACCCCAGCACAACACATTCATCACAGTACTCTTATGAATTCACATATATGTTAGATCGGAAACATCAGATTCCTAGCCCGATTGCAAAATCAGCGATATGGTTACTCTTGAGCTACTTCCCATGTTTGAGGTAGATACACAAGTGCATAATATGCCGCTCGGCCGTTGAGGTTGCATGCCAGCCTTAATGTCTACGTACGGAAATTCCTTCAATCACCTGGATGATCTCCACCAAGAGTTCTCATCCCTTTCAACGCTCGGCCTCCTTGATGGAACAATGTGACCTTATTGCTTAATATAGATGCAGTTAAAATGGGCATATTCACCGTAGGACTTGCTTTTTGTCTTTAACGTCCCGTTTTAGTCTGCCCACCTGAATTCAACATCACCAATATGGACAGAAGACGCCCTTCTTGCAGTGACTCACTACCTCGCAGTGAAGCCCAGATACGCTTGTGCCCCGAAAAGTTCGATGAATCGTCCGCCGATGATGGACCGAAATTAGCACCCGTTGACGGCGGATTCCAGGCATGGATGTTTCTGGCAGCTTGTGTAATGATCGAGGCTTTGATATGGGGTGAGTCTGCTCGCGTGACTACAAGATGACAGTTTACTAACTATGAGCAGGATTTGCTTTTTCATTCGGAGTCTTCCAGAAATACTATCACGACCATGAAGCTTTCCAGGACTCTAGCATGGTAGCTGTCATTGGAACATGTGCCACAGTGAGAAGACCAACTTCGTTTCCGACGGTCTATTTCTTTCTAACATCATCCACAGGGAATTTCCTACTTGAGCTGCCCGCTGGTCATCATTGCTATGATCCTCCTTCCTCGATGGGGCCGCTGGTTCTCATCAGTAGGGCTGATCATAATGTGTCTTTCCCTGGCCGCGGGCTCATTTTCCACCAATGTCACTCACCTCGTGCTCTCCCAAGGAGTCGGCTTCGGAATTGGCGGCTGTATAGCATACAGTCCATCCATCCTGTACATGGATGAGTGGTTCGTCAACCGACGAGGACTCGCGTTCGGCATAACCTGGGCCGGATCAGGAGTATCCGGGATAATATTCCCGATTGGCCTCGAGAATCTATTGGGACGGTTCGGATTCGAAACGACTCTTAGGGTCATCTCCGTGATCGTATTCCTTCTCGCTGCGCCATTCATATACTTCCACAGACCACGCCTCCCGGTTAAAAGGATAGTCGACTATCAGCGTCTGAACTTCCGCTTCCTTACAACCCGGATATTTTGCTTCTACCAACTCGGCAATATAATAGAGGCGCTGGGGTTCTTCTTGCCCGGTATCTATTTACCGAGCTATGCCCGTAGCATTGGCGCTACAGATTTCCTCTCCTCGTTGACCGTCACGCTGTTAAATCTGGCGTCGGTTTTCGGCAGTGTTACCATGGGCCATCTGACAGATCGATACCATGCTATCACCTGCATTACCATCTCAACAGTCGGTAGTACACTGTCTGTATTTTTCCTCTGGGGATTCTCAACAAGCTTGCCCACGTTGCTTGTGTTTTCTGTCGCGTACGGATTATTCGCAGGGTGTTACTCCGCGACGTGGGCGGGAATGACTCACGAGGTCCGACGAGTCGATCCGTCTGCCGATGCAACTATCATATTCGGGGTTATTGCCTTTGGGCGTGGAGTTGGAAATGTCGTTAGCGGTCCATTAAGTGAGGCCATACTTGGTCCAGTGACGGAATCTGCGCTAGCAGGATATGGTACTGGATATGGACTTATCATCTTGTGTACGGGGCTTAGTTGCTTGTTGAGCGGAGTATGTATAGTCGCGCATTATATGAAATGTTTATAGGCGAGTGTCGTTGCACATTTATGCTGATGATTAACGTCTGCTTTTTTTGATGGGACAAAGGAGGATTAGGATCGCTACATAGGGTACTTTTACAAATTGATATACTTCACAGTCTACCAACTCTTCCTGTTTCCTTCGAGCATACTCCTACGTATGTCAGTGCCCATTAATTTTATGCACAATTTGAGTTAATAATATAAAAATTCATAAAAAATTGCAGACTTGCTGTAAAAATAAAGTTTGGATATTTCCATCAGCGATCCGTCAGCATCCGAGTGCGCGTAGATGTATCATTCTACTAGCTACCATCACCACTTCGATATTTCCATTCCAATATTCAACGACGATTAGTAGTAGTATATCATAAATCTAAGCTCCCTAGGAAGCAATATTGTAAGAATCTAATTACTATGCAACATTTGATAAAGTTTTCACATCCACGACGCCATGATCCAAGTCATCGGGGTACACCGGGACTCCCGACGATCCGGAACCCACTCAACAAGAATCTTGAATCTTCGAACCTTTAACCTCGACAGAGTTTTATATCAAGTTTACTCCCCTCAAGCTTGGACTCGTTAAGTGGTCGACGTCATTCCAACAGAACATGCCAATGTCGATTCCACGACACCCCACGCTCAAAGGTTTATAGTGTGGTCCATGACGCCAATGTGGAGGAGACTACCGGTTATTGAGAAAGTCTACTTAGTATAACGTACTCGAAGCCTACCGCATGCGTCGCTAGGATGATGATGACTCGTGATGACTCGGAAGATTGCGCAGTTCTATGGGTTTAAAAGGTATTTAACTACCTGTAGCCGTAGCAATTCTTCTGTATCTTCACAGAATATCCCTCGATTATCCTCCACGATACCTCTTCCGAGATAACTCCAAGAGCTATGCGTTTCAATATCGTCAGCCTCCTGCTGGCCGGAGTCACTGCCACCTCCGCCGCTACTACCACCTCTGCAGCAGGCTCAGCCTCAACCTGCTTGCCCTCATCTTCTGATGCCAAGGTCCTCCAATTCGCTCTGGGTGTCTCCAACTTCATCGGCGGTTTCTACAACACCACTGTGAACAGCACCTTCGGAAACTCCAACAACGCCACCATCCAGGCATACCAGAGGGTCCTCTTCGGCCTCGAGAAGGACAACACTCTATCCAGCGCCGCCATCGAGAAGGTCGGCGCCAAAGCCCCCGGCTTCTCCAAGCCTACCTGCGACTACACATACCCTGAGGTCAGCAGCACCCAAACTTGGGCACAGTGGGCCTACCGCTTCGAGGATACCGTCACCGGTGCCTTCATCGGTCTTGCCGGCTACTCCCAATCCCCCGAGGTCTCTTTCCTCTTGGCTCGTCTGGCTGCCGAGCACAGCGCCCACTCTGCCTTGATCGGTAGCCGCGTGAACTCGACCTACTTTGCCGCAAACTCTACTTCGCTTGTGGCAGCCTACGGCCCCGCTCAGATCTTGTCCTCTCGCAACCAGACTGGTAGCCTTGGTGAGTACCTCGGTGGATGCCTCACTGCCCCCACTAGCCCTTGCGGCGCCTGGAGGATTGGCCCCTTGGATGCTACTCCCTCCTCTTCCGGTGTGGCGAGCAGCACCGGCGTGTCTACTTATGCTGCCAAGAAGAACTAAGATGTTGATTGTTGAATGAAGAAACTTCACCCTCTGGTTTGAGGGAATGTTTCGGAATACACAATTGTGTATTAACTTCAGTCAATTCGAGGGGAGGAATATCGCTGTTAGATAGAGCAGGATTGGAATATATGAGATAATTAATGGATTAATTCGGAATATGTTATGATAATTCAATTTTCTATACATTAATTTCTATACATTTAATTATGATTGAATTATTAAAGGGACATTAGGAGGGTAGTACAATGAGTAAGCCCATTTATTCTCGAGCTAGACAGCCAATTTGATGTTGACGAGTATAAGAATGGCCCACGACCACAGATTTGAGATCTCCCTCTAATGACGTCATGCATATTGCTCCTTTAAACTTCATTTTATGCGATTGTTTTATAGTGCATTCATTTAAAGCACTTTTTTTTATTCCATCTTGTCTGGCAATAGTGAGCTGTAGACATATTTCCAATATCAAAATGGGTAAAGCAGGGAAGGTGCAAAGACCAAAGTCAAGGAAGGTGCGACTCTGCAAGCTCATTGTTGCCAAATTCACCCGAGGGGAATCTTCTCCTTTGTTCCTTTGTAAACCCACTGTGGCCTTGTCTATATGCCCTATACCGTATCCCCTATACCATGCCTTGATCATCTCTTTCCTCTCTTTCCTTCATGCTGCTCCTGCCTGGTTCATGATATTCTCCAACGTCTTCGTCGACACATCGTCGCCGGCAACTTGGAAGATAGACTTCTGAACCTTCGGACCATAGTCCCTTGGGAATCGCTTATCTGGCCCATAGGCTGTCTAGAGGGTCGAACCGTCTAAAGGCGTATGGGACTTCTATTGGCATCATTGCCCTAAATGGCCAACAGTAAGCATACCCTTCCTCCAAAAACAATCGGATCACGCTAATAGCGTACAGAGCCATCTAAAATCGAGTCAATCCCCTCCGCACAGAGCTTGTAGCTTTCGTGGCCGTGTAATACGCGACAGAGCCAGGTATGTTCTATCCATTAGCCCGGCTCATATTGGAAGCAACAAATCGCTAACTTGGGATTTATCAATAGAATCTGGAGCATATACCTGGGACCCGACAGGAAATTTCCCACCAAAGGGCCTGTGAAGGACACCTAAAATCCACATTATAGGAGTTGATCGTTAGTACATCTAAAACAATATATATCCGCGATGGCTCGATCTCGATGACGCGGCAAGAGCGAATATCGTCGGTGCATTCAAACCAAAGCCCCAAACTGCCGACTCTTATGCAAGAGCCCCTGGCTACCATTCTCGAAATAATATGCTCGCTTTTCCCACATGTTTCTTCTGATCCTTCGTATCTCGTCGGAATTTGAGGTACATAATGGTTAGCCAGTACGGCCATATCACTTCCCGTCAAGTTCGTTGCCGAGACACTTTGCGAAACCCCGGGCCATACAATCAACACGTGAAGATTGTCGATATTACTCCAGACCCTTCCTAATGTTGTTTACAGGATGGTGAACCTCTTCTCCGAGAAAGCCAAGAACTGACCGACCTCGAACATTCCACCCGTTGGGACTCCTCTGATCTCTAATCTCATTGTTGTGACGAATTTCGACCACATATGGTTCTAAACATATAACACTGAATCGATATCACTTGAGTCAACGAGGCTGAGAAATCCCTGGAGTCGGTTGGGCTCCGGTGATTGGACCATCGCGATACCCTCAAACCATGCTGCTGTTGCCTGGTCATTCATATTGTCCATTTTTGAGGGATACATGGCTGTACAACCGCCTCTTGGGTCTCTCTAAATAAATTAGAATTATCTAAAGGCTCAGAGTGGAGGCCAATTTAGAGTGTCAAGCCATCAAGCCTTGGAAGCTTGACGAGGACAGGACCCCACACAACAGGGCAAAGAAATGCTATGGGCTGCCTCTGCTTTTCGCCCCCAATAGCATAATACTACTGCTCTGCCGCAAACACGCCGACAAGTTGCCTTCCACCTGGGGATAGGCTCTGCGGTAAAAGATAGCCACCAAATGTTCAGCCTGCGTGCAACACACTACCGAAATGCTATTGCTCCTCTGCCGAGGTCGGTAAAAATGCAGTTCTATACGCATCACAAATACAAGAAACACTGGAACAAACCATGGCGAAATCGAAGGCGAAGACGATCTCAGTCAGCTATCATTCGTCATAGCGGACTTAGATGACACTTCGCCCAACAGACTGATCAAGTTTATGGAAATATGCGGTTACCACGCCGAGTGTTGGGGCACGGCAAAGGACGACCTTCACATCATTTCGCATTGTTCTTCGCGGACCACCCAACCTCATATATGAGAACTTTATTTCCCCTGTCGTACCTGGAAATTTCGACAGATTTCGGGAAACACCAAGATACCCAAGGAGTCTCATCCCTGAGTTGGGGACTACACGCGCACCGTATCGACGGGACGGATTCGATCCCCATGAAGCTGCAGACGGTTAGATGAAGGAGCAGGGGCAGTACGGTGATGGAGAAGAAATGGACAAGAGTAGTGCATCCCAGCCGGATGTCTTGATCGTTCGCTGACCCGGACAACAACGGAGCCTGCTCGCCAACTCCCACTTCTATGGAGTTCTGTTCTGCCCCCGTATATTGGACAACCTGCGCCGGGAAGCACCAATACAGCCCAGAGTCCAATACCTGCTATTTGCGAGGCTCTGAAAGCGGTCTGGGAGTTTTCGTTGGTGTTCCAGCGAGCATTACTGCTTGTAGTTTACAGACCGAGCTCCTTGTCTTGGATTGTGACTTGCTGCCTGTTCTCAGCTAAGTGGTGTGGCCTTGTTAGTCCTGCAACCCTGAAATTTGGTTGCTTTCACATTATGGGGCCACTCCAATACGATCAGTGATGTCATGTACATATGTATGCTTTGTTTTATAGGTATGCTTTGTATTGAATAGAACCCACGACCCTTTCCTATTTAACAGCCATACAAGAGAATACTTGGTTTACATGCAGATACAAGGAATCAAACCCCCGGGCTGATATTTACAACCCCGTAAAAGGCCCCTTCTCCTGAAGATTTTTAATCCGCCCAAGCAAGAACTCCAAATGCCTATAACCCGCACCGGGAGCGTACTGCGGGATCTCATGACCAGAATTATAAACCGAACTGAACGTAAGACCACGCTCAGTATGCGCCGTTCCAAGGATACCAGCACCGGAATCCGCATTCCAGGGGGTAGAAGTCTCCCCATTAGCCAGACGATCCAGAGCAGTCGTATACGGCACGAACAGGGGTTCGACAGGCGGTTTCTGGAATCCCTGCGCACCATTCCAAGTCATATTCTGAATCGTGGCGAGAGTTCCATTAGCGAAGAGCAAGTAATCAAGCCAGCCATGGCCGATGAGGACGTTATTTGTAGCCTCGATGACGCTGGGAAGCGGGCCGAGTGCGCTGGGGAGTGAAAGATCGCCTTTGGGGAAGAGATCCCCGCCGCAGACTGCGTAGTTTGTTGGTGGGACGTTGAGGGCTTTTTGGACGGCGGAGCTGTTGAAGTAGTTGTTTGGTCCTCCGGCTAGGGATGGGAACCCCATTTCGTCCCAGAGGAAGGGACAGAAGTCTGTTAGATGGTACATGTTGAAGCAGGGGTTGATGTAGGTTGCTGCTTTTACGATTTCGTCCCAGACGTCGCAGCCGGGGGTGTATACGTCTGGTGCTGTGGGGAAATGCTTTGGTGGGGGGTATGTTAGGGCTTCATTTAGGAATTTGGTGTAGCCGCATTTGTCGGCGCGGTGGTTGATCTCTTTCGTGAAGGTTTCGTTCAGGGCGAAGACGGAGGAATAGTGGTTTAGCGCTGCAACGGCCGGGGCTATCAGATTTAAGTTAGTACGGTGACTCTTTTTAATCGCGTAGAGCAATAACTGACCGTAGATCATAATGGAATCGTCGTTAATGGACGGGTCATTAATCTGGATACCCTTGAGGTTGAAATTCTTGGTATCGTTGCGCTTCAACATCCCATCTGCCAGATACGGAATGTATTGGCCAGCATAGCTCTCTCCGGTGATATAAATCTTGTAGCCTTCCATGCTGAAGGTTTCAATGAAGCGCTCCCAGAAGTCGTTGAATTGATCTGAGACTTCAAGTTCATTTGTGACATTGGCTGGTCCGGGAGAAAAGCCAGTGCTCGCAGGCTGGTCGATGTAGACCAGATTTGTCAATTTGGTCCATGAGTACGGGTTGCGCACAGGCTCGTACACGCCGGATTGCCACAGGAACGGACCGTTCTCTTGTAGAAGACCGTCAAGTGAGCTGCATCCGGGGCCTCCATTCAGCCAGATGGTAATCTTAGAGGATATTAGATGAAATTCTGCGACGGGTTGAAATTAACGTACCTCCTTTTCCGCAGCTGGGTTGGTAGATGGGAAGAACCAGAAGAACAAGCTCGATTTTCCATGTGGTGTATTCTCCAAAAGTCCGGCATAGCTCTCGCCGATGTCAAAAGGGACTTGCGGGAAGTGAGTTCCATTCACTTGGAATTCTAGCAGAGATGAATGGTAAGTTGACTATCTTGAGATTTTACAAATAACAAGGTTCCGCACTTACTTTGCGTCTTCTCGTTCAGATACTTATGCTCAGCCGGGGAAGCTGAGACCTCTCTTTTGCGCAGACTATCCGCAGGCTGTCTGAAAGACGAAGCCTTGCGGTGCGGGTTTTGCAACGCCGCGACCGCAGTCACCAAGGAAATAAGGGGTGCCAAAACCAACATTGTGGGATGATCCTCCTCGAGCTTGGAAAACCAAACTTGGAGTAGAAGAGCAGGAAGACCTAGTTTTATAATCCCATTGTCTTTCAATTGTCTTTCAACGAGTCGTGCTAGCCGGAGCGATCTGCGCTCCGGGCGGATACTAAGATATTAACGCACTACTAAGCTTTGCCAATAGAGACCGGGACAAGTTGGGGCGCGACCCACTATAAAGCAGGCATTGGTTGCTAGCAAGCGTGATCTGCAAGTGATTGCAACGTCGTCAGGAACAATCGGCATGACGAGTTGATTGTCCCCCTTTTTGCTCCGACGGAGTCCGCTATCTAACACATGATGCACTCGTAGCGTCGGGCGTCTGTCCGATTGAAGAGGTATCAGCACATGTGACTGCTATGTTTATTGAATAGGTGCGATCACGGTGGGGCAAGACCCTAATATCGAGGTGTTCTTCTTAGTGAATGCATTCCGTAGCGTCAAACGATCCGCGTTGTTAATCCTGGTGCCTGTACTTCGTACCTGCAGAAGGATCTTAGCTCGGATCAAATCAATATTATACCACCCGAGCGAGGTGCATCAAGACCTAGGTGATGGCGCCAGCAACGTTTGTTCCGATCGCATCAATAATGGGCACTGTAGATAGTTGGTCTTCAAGGGTCTCGCTCGGGTGATGACTGGAAATGAGTATGTGGAATTGAATCAACATAACGACTCTAGCGAGGAAATGTCGTGAAACGATGGCTACATGTACAAGGATCTTGCAGGGCTGAAAAGACTTGGTCCTGACAAAGAGGACTCAGGCAGCCATGCATCCAACTCATCACATGTGCGCCTGACTCAAGTTGTGCATATAACACAGGATATTCAAAGCAAGATCATAGCTGACTCTAAAAAGAAGAAGTTATGGGATGTAAAATCCACAAGCTGATTTCGCAGATGATCATCTTGCCCCTTTCTTTGGGGTCACGTGACTTCTACGATTGGTTCCAGGTCTACAACAGACAAGTTCTTCAACTCCTCAATGTCCTTGATATTTCTAGGTTCTACTATCAAGTAACCTTCTTGATGTATATTCTCTCATTCATACAAAAAGACTAACTTTCTCCCCGATGCCCAAGATATCCAACCCCGCACCTTTATCACACCGCATAAACCTCCCTCGTAATCCATGCAGCTATACGCCAACCCGTCTTCATGCCCAAAGCGTTCCCCACGCCCGACTTGCCTCATAGCCATCATGGTACATATCCGAAAGCGTCTTTCGGGCGGGCTTTCCAAAAACATATATATATCCAAGAATTGAATTCAATCTCGTGTGAAGAGTACTCTTTCAGCATTGCATTGCCAAGGATGAAATACGCGAGAAAAAAAAAGTTAGTATCAAAGTTTTCTAGATGCATATTATTGCATATTATTGCGGGGTGATGAGATTGGGATCAAAGTGGGTTTTCTTTTTCTCAATATATAAATGGAGTAAAGAAAATAGTCCGCGTGGAAAATATGATTACATATTAATCTCATGCTGAGGCTATGATGAGGTAGCGAATCCATTCCGCAGCTATTTTGGGGATCGGAACCCCAAGCTGTCAGTCATTATTGACGGTGTCTGGGGCTGGAATGGGGAACTCGTGATCTGCATCTCCATCTGCGAGGGGGCGGATACGGCGTGAGGCCGAGCGGCACTGTGTAACAGGTGACATTCCTCGATCGGCAGTGGGGGTGGATACGGTGATGTTTATGTTCTAGGGTTTATATTGTAGATAAATCTACGGTAAATGTTCCGTGTGAGACAAAAAGGAATAATAGATGGAGTTGGATCATATATATGCAAGTGCAAGGTGGAATCATTATATTAAAAACCAAAGTAGACCGAGCTTCGTTGACGACTGGTCACGTTGACCAGCATGAACACGAGGGAAAATTGGAAAGTGGCCTTGGCCTTTCATTTGTCAAAGTACGTACATGATTTATCGATATACAGGATCATCAATGAAAAACCTCTCAAATAATATAACCATAAACTCCCGAATACACATAGGGTAACACATGACCGTTTATCCCAAAATTAAAACCGAAGTCCAAACCCCGAATCCCAAAGAGTCCAGGCCATGCAGCCATCATCAATTCCGTAGTAATCATGAAGTAGTCTTTCGTCAGGGTCGTGAAGTAGTCGAAGTGGGAAGACACCCATTTACTGAGTGTTGCGTCTTTTTTTTCAGTCGCAGACTGATTTTCTTTCGTAGTTCAGAGAACGGGTTCACCGGGGGACGGTTGTAAAATGGATCGTTCTTGAAGTCCTCATCGGTGAATTTCTGGAACCGAGTTGGTAATGGTGACACAACAGTATTGGGAAAGAAAGACATACCGTGCCAGGAAGGCGCATGAAGTTACCAGCAAAGTCGTTCATCATGTTCGAGCCCTCTTCGTAAGAGTACTCCTGGCCGTCGCGATCCGTGGTTCCAGGAGGATAAAAGGCAACGCCATCGAGCGGCCGGTGACTGTTTAGGGCGTCGGCGATCTTGTGGTGGGGAGTCGCCCGGAGGGCCTCGGCATTTGACTCCTTGACAGCTTCCAGCGGGCTGGACTCAGCAAAGCGGTTTCGTTCAGGGCGGGCTGCGTCGTACGGGCCCTCGTGGTGATAGGAGAAATTGGTGGCATTGTCCAGTCTGTCGATGATATCGGGTTGCACAAGCTGTGAGTGCCGGGAGTACTTGTTGGTGCGGCGATGATGGGGAGCAGAGTGCTCGCGCTTGCGTCTCGGCTCCACCGGATGATGTTCGGGTATGCCGGAATACCAGATTGAAGGCGCGGAGTTCACAGACTCAGAACGCGACCGTCGAGAGTAGGAGGGCGCTGGTGAAATATAGCGCGCATATGGGTTGTTGCTGCCCATGCTTGTTCCCACGTTTTGGTGTCGATCTTGACTGAGTTGGTTGAAGGGATGGTGGGGATGGTGGGCTGATGCCATGGGAATGCAGTCAACTGCCATTTCGAGATTGTTTGATGGGTTCTTGTAAGATGAAAAGGTATCCAGGGTGAAAGGCGCGAGGCGCAAGGATTACCCGGTGATATAAGTAAGAAGTACTTTATTTAGAACAGCTGAGGCTGAGGAGTGATGCAGGGTAGCTCGTACAGCAACTGAAGATGTTGGTTGTGAGAACAGAAGAGAAAAATGGATGAAGATGGGTAGATGTAGATGGGAGAATAGCGAGTGCCTCGAGAAGAGCTTATATCAAAGGGAAGCCGCGGACGTGACGTGATGACTTGACTTTCCGACGCTTAATTGATCCTCGGGGCTACACATGGTCTAGTAGTCTCTAAAGTGGGCTTAGTCCTCCGTTAGCTTTTCAGTTACTACATGTACCAATCATCGCTTCGAATAAAAAAACATGTGGGTCAGCATGTTGGGCTTAGCTCGTGAGACTGCCGACTCCCGATGGGTAGACGGAGAGAACGGAGTATAGAGTTGGTGATATCATCCAATATTGTACACACTACTCAATTTCATCTACTTTCCCTATTACAAGCAAAAAGAATTGATCTAGATCAGAGATTCTCTAGTTATTCTTGAAAATAGATCCCATGATTCACCATGCATAAAGACTTAAAACCAATGCAAGGCCCATGTTGCATCCCACATCCGAGACTTCCACGCAGTCCACGTACTGATCGACTCCTATGACGACATCCCTACCTGAACTGCCCCTACATATATATTTCTTTCTGATTCTTTTTTTTTTTTTTTTTTTTCAAACGTCATCCTAGAAATCGAAGCAAGGGTCATTTCACTTGATAATCGAAAAAAGCCGCCGGCTATCTATTCCCGGAGGTCCCGGGCGATGACTCGTTCATGGATTAAGCTTATCCGCTAGGGGGAAATAGCGGCCGGTCTTAGTTTGGCATATACCCCTGGCCTGGTCTAGATCTACACTCTCCCTTGAGCCAATTTCAATTTTTCTTGAGGTGTCTTGTCTTTTCACCGCTTTTTCACTCGCTATTTAATAGTTTCTTCATTGTCCTACATACACACATACAATCTAGATCAGATGTCTCAAATCATAGCTACAAATGTACAGAATATAGCAAATTGAAACTTTTGATGAGCTTGAAATTCATTTTGTGGGGCAATGAATCAATACTATTTCTCATCACCCAACAGCAGTGCTCAACTCTAAGAGAAGAGTTTTCAATTTCATCTTTAATTGCAAGCAATTCTACGTAGTTCAAAATCGGCTTGTAACCAGATTGGCAAAAAGTGATTCTTACCGTATATTTGGACTTTGTGATTGTCAGTGGAATGCCTTTAATGGGGTTACAAGTCCAGATGAAACGTTCATCTTATAGCTTGAATTTTGGGCTGGTCCAAAGATTGCGCCCTCCCCCCCGCCCACCGGCCACCGGCCGTGGGGTGTCAGTAAAATATCCGATGTTACACTTCGAATTAAAAGGGAATGTCGTCCTACAAAAATATTGCTAATGATAAAACAATATAGTCGGTTCCTCTACGTCCCTTAGATCACACTCGCGGAAATACTCGATACAAGTGCCTATTTACTCACCACAAGCGATGGTATTAGGCAATCAGACCAAATGATTGAAAATGAGGAAAGTGGTCGTTCTTCTATCCATATTTTAACACTCAACAACCAAGGCAAGATGGCCTAGGGGGAGTGAGTAAGTGGATTGACGACCAGATTGTGGCGAGCAATATAGAAAGCAGACGTTACGGGCGCGGCCTCTAATTTTATACTTCAAATGTTCCTTCAATCTCAAGTTACAGAAAAAACTAAACTAGATTTTGATCTATCACAGTCATTCTCATTGATCCGGTCGTTACACGTGTTTATATGTTTTATGCTGTCCCACAGTCTATGTGTGTATCTTACTGAATATACTTCTTAGGCGTTGTACAGATAGACCGAGCTAATCATGGAGATATCATAATTCCGGTAGTCCGGACACTAGGATCTTTCCTATTAAGCATATCAAGCAGATACATACAGATAATTGAAGGCTCTGGTAGTAATGATTAGGCGTGCGGAAGTAATGATATTTGGGTCCCAGCGTTAACCGAATCAATATCTCTCGGGAGTTAAAATTACCACATACATACATATATGTGTAGTTGTTGTCATTGGTTTGAAGTATGTTTACTGCTGAGGAATTCCCGTAATCAGCAAGTTGTTGCCTGAAGAGAAGAGAACTTGAAGTCTATCACTATATCATCCCTGGAGGGGGGGGGGGGGGGGGGGTAGAGCCAATATTGGAATGGGAGAAATAAATCGCTCTTAGGCTAGTAGAGACAATCGAACAAACTGTTACTACTAGTTTTAGCGTGGAAGAGTAAACTATGTATATCTATAGCGAGTATAGTATTCCACTCCAACGATACATACATGTATCTTTCCACGACATGACCCGTAGTCCAGATCTTCTCTTTACACTTGAATCATCAAATAGCAGAACTAGTCAAAAAGGGTAGATGTCAAGTGTGTAACAGCATTTTCTTACCCACCACGACCCCATCCTCCGCCATCGCCCCAGCCACCACCCCGTCCGTTATAACTTGTTCCACTCCAGTCACCCCTGCCGGAGTGGCCACAACTATCAGCAGCGGAAGTTGCAGAAGGTTTCTCGTCACGGGCGACCAGCGGTGGATCTATGGAGTCCTGATTTGGTCAGAGATTGCTCAAATATTCGATATATTCCTCACTCTGTGGAACAGGTATGGCATTTACAGTACGGGCAATACTGAGGATAGGAAAAATATACTTGGACTTCATGTTTGAACTGACCTAATGTACAACTCACATGTGAAAATATGCTACGCATGGGCCCACTTCAAGTAAAGCTCATCGAATTAAGACTTAGCCGCGATAGCCGGATGATTGTCTTGCTTCTCAAGTCTAAAAATATCTACAAACTGTCCCCCTTCGAGGTGGTATTACTTCGGACCTCGACTTCCGATATATTCACGTAAAGATTCTGACCAAAATGCCAACGGAATGAAGCCTTAGGCTATAAACCAAGGTATTTGTTTTGTGAATTCCGATATAGCATGAGTTATATTGGGTTCAAGATTCATATATCTTGTCATCACAATGGTTCGAACAACAAAAGCTGGCATGGTGTTCTTTCATCCTTGGCAGAGGAGATACCTTGTAGTAGAAATAAATCCGTGATCATAAAATTATGTGTAGTATCTCCGTATTTTCAGTTTTTCTGTTGACCAATAATCGTCCCCTTGATATGCAAGATCCGGGTTTACGTCGCACAAACTGAGGATTCTAGAAGCCTTCGCTCCCAGCTTTCTTGCTCAGCAGATATTTAATTAGCTGTGGATTTTGTCTTGCATTGTGCTTGATAAGGAAGCTAAAGCCTCTCGAGGATGGAAGAAAATTACATCCTATGAGACTCGAAGTATTGAAGCGTTGGGGATTTGCTTCCAAGCATACTGCCTCGATTTGACAGTCGGTCGATGTGGCCGGAAAATCAAGTGTTTTATCCGCACAATTTAATGATCCAAGTTATATTCTTCCGGGGGAATATGCATCTCATCCTAGGGGCTGGTTTGCGGGGTTTTCGCTTCCAACGTGTCGGTGCGCCTACAGCAATTGCATCACATAGGAGCAATGTTTTGATTGAGGATTGAGGATTGTTAGCTTTTGTGGACTAGGGTGCATAAACTCACCATTATCGTAGTAGGAACCTGGGATTATGATCACATTCACGACTGTGCCAATGTAATAATTGGTGACCTTCTCTTGTGCACCGTCACTCGATAGTTGAGATATATAATTTTAGCACAAGTACAGTCCAACCAGTACACTACTCTAACTTTTTTGCCCTGCGACCTATTGACACGATATAAGCGAAGTGCCATCAAAACATAAATTTATAGATGAGATTGAAAACGATGATTGGCTCCCCACTTTAACTTGCCCCACATCAGAGAAACCAGACCTTCATCAACACAACAACTCCCCTGCCACATCGGATGAGATGCCTCTAGTACAATACCCTGATTCGGAATCCGACTCAGAATCTAAGTCTTCTCCCCCGCCAGCCAAGAAACCTCGCCACAACATCAATCCAGGGCCATCGCTGCCGCCTCTGCCAGCATCATTCCACAACCTCTATGCCTCGAGCACACGTGTGAGTGTGCAAGATGATCCCAGCCTTCATGGCGGCCGCACGCGCGTAATTCCCCATGTGGAAGGGAACTGGCCAACACATCTTTACCTCGAATGTGAGTGCTAGGCCTTGGTTTCGTGCAACTCGTACAAGGAGCTAATTTTGACAGGGTACCCGAGGAAAGACGAGCTATCGCTCCTTGCAGATGTCATCTCTCGATCTGGGAATGTGCCAGATGAGAAGACCCCCACGGTGCACAGTCTCCTCCATAGCGATCTTGATGCCCAACTACCACTTCATATAAGCCTGTCTCGGCCGGTGATTCTTCGCACCGAGCAGCGTGTCTTGTTCACTGAGGCGCTACGAAAGGCCATTCACGACTCGCATGTTTTATCGTATGTGACCAATTTGAAAAGTTATCAGTCATTGTCTAATGCTCGAACTAGATTTAACGTCCGACCGGATACTTTGTATTGGTCATCTAACTATGAAAAAACACGCTGGTTTCTTGTCTTGGGCGTGCAGAGACCAAGCCACGATGGTCTGAACCGCCTCTTGAAGCTATCAAATGACACTCTTGCTTGCTTTGGCCAGCCACCACTGTATGCAACCTCCTTGACACAAGGGAAGCAGACCGGCTTATCCCTTAGTGATAAGAGCAGCAGTCTGGGGGGCGAGGATTTCTCGGCGTGCTTCCATATTTCACTTGCTTGGAGTCTGTCAGAGCCCAGCCTAAAGGAACGTGAACGGGTTGCTGGGGTAGATCTGCGCGCTTTGCACGAAATACAGGTTGGATTCGATAGCGTCAAAGCAAAGATTGGGAACATTGTCAGCAGCATACCGTTAAGAAAAAAACTCATAAAATGAAATTTTCTTCCAGTAAATTGTACGTTGTCTCTTGTGGCCAGTTTGGCAAGAATATCCAAAACCTGAGGTTGACTACCTATTCAACTTGTTCAGCGCTTCAGATCCTCTCATAAATCGTCGAAAGCGAAACAAAACGCTGGTGGTTACCTCTTTGCCCCCTGCGGAGATCCATATGAGGTCATATAATTAGAACCCGGAACTAGCGACCCATTTCCGACCCGATCTACCCAACACTTGCAATTTAGGGCAGAGATGAAAGCACGACATTCTACAAGACCATTTAATAGGCTGGACTAATAAAAATAAGCTCATGAGCTTAAAGTTCCCCTAAAATCTGCACGTGGGCCGAAATATTCGCCTCTGATCTTTAACGGCTTTCGAGATTTTCATTCTCAGATTTCAACCGTAGAAAACAATCAGGTACGAACCTCTATAATAGGAGGCCGGCATCGGAGCGAAGTTTTCTTTTTCCCCAGTTTTGACCAGCAGATTTTCCCATTTGGATCCAGCGAACCAAGTCCTTTTCGGCTTTTCCATTACGTCCCGACGAGTTGATTCGTCGTCTCGGTCCGCTGGTCGGCGATCCACATCTGTTTCGGGTGGCGGATTCTTTATTCTTCAATTTACTGACTTGGTGGGTGCTTTTTTTTTCGTAGAAGGATTTTTAATACTATTTTCCTCTCGTTAAGATCTCTATCTCTTCTTAATTTGTTGTATCAAGCGATTCGCATTTGTTCTCCGCTTTTTCGTTCGATTCCCGACGTGATATTTACTTTCCCGGGTATACGTCGCTGGTTTTGATATATTCGCTATGAGCTCTTCACCTGCTGGTTTGGATTTCGATTCCAATGAGAAGAGTCACTATGTCAATTCAAATCCCGCCGACTTGCAGTCTGATCCCGAGAAGTCTGCTGAGGTTCCGAAAGTTAGACAGGATGCTTTTGGCGACGAGGAGTTCGCTGAAATCAAGTACAAAGTACTCAAGTGGTGGTATGTTTGCAATATCTCGAAATGTGCAATAGCTTTATGGCTAACTTATATCTTGTTTAGGCAATGTGGTCTGCGTATGTGATAACATACTATATCAAAATCTCAACCTCTAACATTCTATTAGTGATGGTCGCCGAAACGGTATCACTGGGTGTGCTCTCACTGCCCGCCGCTGTAGCAGGTCTGGGACTTCTTCCGTAAGCCTACCTTCTGACTCACAGTGCAAGAATTGAAGCTAATCATATCCCCAGCGCGATCCTCGTCTTAATCTTCCTAGGTTCACTAGCCACATACACCGGCTATGTGATCGGACAGATGAAATGGAAATATCCACACATCTCCACGATGGCAGATGCCGGTGAAGTGATAGGAGGAAAATGGGGACGAGAATTCATCGGTGCTGCACAGATCATCTTCTTCATCTTCATCATGGCCAGCCACCTGTTGACCTTCACCGTTGCCATGAACACCATCACAAACCACGGCACCTGCTCCATCGTCTTCGGCATCGTCGGCATGGTCATCTCCTTCATCTGTTCATTGCCTCGCACTCTAGAAAAGATGTCATGGTTATCCATAGTTTGTACGTTTCCATCTCCCTTCCTAGCCCACCCCCCTCTTCCCAAAAATCCACCAACTAACAACCCCCAGCATTCGCAAGCATCATGACATCAGTCATAATCGTCATGATCGCCGTCGGCATCACAAAACCCGGACATAATGTCGTCGCAGTCGTCAACACAGACCTCTTCCACGGCTTCTCGGCAGTCTGCAACATCGTCTTCGCCTTCTGCGGCCACGCAGCCTTCTTCGGCCTAATGGCCGAACTCAAGAACCCAAAAGACTTCACAAAATCCCTTCTTCTCCTGCAAGGCATCGACATGGGCCTGTACATCACCGCCGCACTGGTGATCTACCGGTACGCCGGCAGCGGTGTGACCTCTCCAGCACTAGGCTCCGCCTCACCGATGGTCGCAAAAGTCGCATACGGAATCTCCCTACCGACTATCATCATCGCCGGTGTCATCAACGGCCACGTCGCGTTCAAGTATGTGTATCTGCGAATCTTCCAGGGTACAGACCGCATGCACAAGCGCGATTGGATCGCCACAGGATCGTGGATCGGTATTGCTCTCTCGTTGTGGATCTTAGCGTGGATTATTTCCTCTGCGATTCCGGTGTTCAGTAATCTGCTCAGCTTGATTACCGCGCTGTTTGCTAGTTGGTTTACCTACGGCTTCAGTGGGGTCTTTTGGTTGTTCATGAATAAGGGTCTGTGGTTTTCCTCGCCGAGGAAGATTGCCCTTACCTGCGTGAACTTCTTTGCTATTGCTGTTGGGGCCGCGCTGTGTGGTCTTGGTCTTTGGGTTTCCGGGAAAGCTCTTCATGATAACCCCAGCAGTGCTAGCTTTTCTTGTGCCAATAATGCTTAGCTGCATGTGCGCGGGTTAGCTTGGCTTGTATAAAACTGTATCTGGGAAGGGTTCTCTGGCGTTCTGGTTTCGCATTTTGAGCATTTGTTTCGATATTTTGGATACCTTGTTTCTATCTCAAGTTGCTGCTTGGGTTGATTTTGCCCTGCATACTTAATTGTCCCTTGCATATACATACTACAGCGCTTCATGGAAATAGACGTGTACGAATATAATCATATGCTGAAAACTTGACTGCTAAACTTTGCGGTAGATCTTGGATATAATACCTAGTCTTCAATGGCCTCCCGGCAATCCCGGCAGCAGGTGGTTGATCTTCGGGTTGTTTGTGATTCTTTGGGATGTCGGCTAAGACTGGG